GCGAGCTGAATTGTGTCAGTTTCGGCGAGCTAATTGCTGAGGACTCGGCTCATCACTGCGCTTGAAATGACCTGCCGCTCTCCATCTCCCTGTCGCTCTCCGCACCCATCGCAGTCCAAAGCCAAGGCAACATCAGAACGATTGACGACGAGGCTAGCCTAGCCTACAGTCCTGAATGAGACCTCAAGTCGGCAAGCTTCTAAGCTAGGACTGTTGGCGTGGCGAAATATTTTTTTATTTGAGACGGAATAACGTTCTCGACGAAGGCGTGAGGAGCTGTAATGGCCACTTCAGACTTACTATCCACTAGTCAGTCATATCCAATACCTGGTGTGGATCACCTGGGATTCGAACCTGGAACCTGTTGGCTAGAAGTCCGCCACCCTACTCATTGAGTCACGGTTTTGTTGTCCTGTGTTACGGGACATACACTCGTCCCCTGTCTTTGTCGGTTATGGCTTCTCCGCGTGAAGCAGACTGGCGCTCCATCTACCTTGCTCGCTCTTCACCCACCCAACGCGTCCTGATGGGAAGACAAGGTCAACTCGACCGGAGCGGGTCGAGGCGAGGCGTCAGTGAACTCGATGAGAAGGTCATCTGACACATCTACGACCTGACCACTAACTTCACGCGAACCGGGTCTCGATAGGAGCGTCTCGAGCTCCCACACAAGAGGGAGGGCCCACCGAGGGTGCCACTTCAGCTCTGGCCCGCAGTACCCGGTTGCTGTCTTGATGATAAACAGTTAACCCTCTCCTACTTGCAACTACTACTACGCCAACTTAAATGAATAGACATAATTACGCCTACTGGAATTCATGTGGTATTTATTGTAGTGTATCCTTCAAAACACCCCGTGCCTATCCTACTGCTACCGCTTACAATTCAAACGCACTGTGTTTCGGCTAATGTATGTTCACAAAATTTACACAAGTAGTAAAAACAGACAACTGAGGGTTGCTCCCATGTGGCCTATGATAGTGTTCTTCACAACCGATGAGAGGTGACTCAGTGGTCTTCACAGATTTATTTTGCTGTATGGCTCACTGAGGATGCAAAGAACGTAGAAATTGTCATTTAATCGTTCGTCAAATAAAGCATAATTGGTCCGATCGCTTCCCATCATATGTGGGCTCTGGCGGGGAAGAATGAAATTGAAAGAGGTTAGAAGAAGAAACGGGAGGAAAGATGTAGATATCCACGGCCTTTCCTGGACGTTTCATTGTCCGCAGGGTCTGAAAAAAGCCTTCAAATGCTACTAGGAGCGCCAGTAAAGTCTGCCAGCTAGCATACTACCTGTTTCATCTACCAAATTAGTGTTCGAACAAATGATACTATCTACGGAATTGTGTCTGCTTGCACGTACAATGACGGAAAACTGAACCTACTCGAAGACAGAACCAGTCAATCTCGGTGGTATCGATGGGAGGCGATAAGTAATCCTCTGGATAAAGTCAAAACAGAGATGCTTCTCCCAGAACGGACACGCCAAAGTTCCGTGGATCCTACATTATGCGATAACTACTCAAACGGACCAACAATTGTTAACCTTCGAACAGCGCAGAAGGTTCAATGGCCACTGAGATAGAGCAGCGGCCTGGCAAAAGGAAATCGCAAAAAGGTCTTAACCAATTTGATGCGAAGTTGGACAAGGCGGAGGGCAAATCGAGTAAAAAGTTGAATACAGAAAGCAGTACCATAAAACTTGCGCGAATGAAATACTACTATAGAGGACTCACCTATGAGTGTCGACCGCGCTATCGAGATTATTGGCTTGGCTTGTATTGAAACTAACAGAGCGGCTCATCCATGAGGCGTCCCCACCATTAGCACCGTCTATAGTGAGCAGTGCGTGGTCCCTTTCATACTTTCCTTTGCCCTGTTGATGGAGGGGAGATAACAGACGGGGGCGGGTGGAGTTAGGTTGAAATTGTGCCCAGCACTCTTTGATATGATATGAAGGATATTTTCAAAATAAAGCGTATCTCTTTCTCTCGAGCTCTCGCTGACTCCGTCTTTACTCAGAAGAGGGACGTATTTCGATCTGGGAAAAGTAGCCGGGCCTGTTTATTTTGAAATAAGGCCGGCGTTTTCGCCTGCTAGTAAGGCTCCCACAAACTAGGTGTTGTAATCTCCTCTGAAGCAAACTTACTAGATTTCCTATAGAGGGTGTTTCTTGGTGCTCGTAGAACACTTCCGCAAATGTGCATCAACTTGGTTTCTTCGAGAGCCATGCTAATACCTCTGAGGTGAGTAGGTTACATGAGTAGTCATGCAGACCTTCCAAAAATTTCCATAACTGCAGACTGTATAGGAAGCGAAATACTCAAATCCTTCAAACATGGAGTTAGAAGACCTAATTTTCCATGAAATTGATGCAAGCAAAATTGGCGTTGAGGCATCCTTTCTGGGAAACGCAATCGACTTCCTACAGGCATCAAAAATCGTCATCTTATTTCAACCCCAGGCGAAATGTTGACGATCACGGTGTATTCCTCTGTTCTAGCCATCCGCTGGCAGTCTGGTTGGTCAGCTTCTCCCCGCACTTTGGTTCTCACAGCCTTTAATGCTAACTTCTCGCTTGAACTCTAAATGGACTGTGATCGATCACAGTCGGCTTATCCCACCTCGCCATCTTGAGAATTGCTTCGGCTGTCATCTCAAAATATAATGATTTTAAATGCAGCAAATAGCTTCCTTCAGTCTAGCATTTTTATCTTGAAGAGGATCATTTCGTACGCCCTTATACCCGCTCCTTAACCCACATATTTACCTCGTGCCCATGAGCGAGAGTCTTTTTGTCCCTGAAAACTAATAAAATCATATTCAGTTTGTCCTATTAAACCAGATTTGAATGAGTTTTTTCCCCTGTTCGCTAACATTTTTTTCGTATCAGACTGACAATTTTATCAACACAAACTGTGCACTGTACAGTGTGTGCTTACTGGTTCACTCGAAAACGTATTTTTATACTCTTGTGGGTGCAGGATAAAATAAGGCGTTCATTTATTTAAAGACGCATGTTGTGTTCCCTAAAAGTTGCATGTTCACATGTTCTGAGACTGTTTTTTCCTCCCAGGCGGGTTTGTAACTCCACCGAGGCATTCCTTGGAAAGCGTGGTAAAACAAAAGTGGTTAATGCATCATGCGTTTACCTGCGCATTGGAGGTATAATTTTAGGTCACATCGGCACGTCGGTGAGGACTACTTATATACAGGAAGCATAGAGAGGAAAACCCGCCCCCCCCCTCCCCAAGTAATAACAGTGGCCCTCAGCAGAGTCACAGGAAGGGTAAATAGGTTCGTGTTTTAATCCTAATACTAGCACTGACGTAAAATGAAATCTTAGTCCTAATCATAAGCCTTACCCTAACTTATCTTCATGGTAACTTAAAGCTTAACCCAAACATTAAAGTCTGAACGCTATCCATAAACCTAACCCAACCTTATCTTTTTTTGTGAAATTGGGCACAAAAACTTCTTTATTGTGGACTGTTCTTGTTCTCGTGGCCAGTTGATTAGGAGCTATATAAGCCATCCTGAATGATTGTTTAAGGTCGCCACTTCTAGCGTGAACTCAGGATAGAGGTGATGTGATCAACTGTCGACGAAGAAGCCGATACCCCTTTTCCCTCGCAGCCGCTGACCCCGACCC